TATTATATATATTTTAACTTGTATGCAGAACACATCATGCGATGTGCGGTGCTGATGAAAGCAAAGCTGGGGTGAAAATTGCTGGAAGAAACATTAACAACCTTCAGATATGCAGATGACACCACTCTGATGGCCAAAAGCGAGGAGGAGCTGAGGAGCCTTCTAATCAAGGTGAAAGAAGAAAGCGCAAAAGCTGGGTTGCAGCTAAACATCAAAAAACCAAGATTATGGCAACAAGAATGATTGACAACTGGAAAATAGAGGGAGAAAACGTGGAGGCCGTGACAGACTTTGTATTTCTAGGTGCAAAGATTACTGCAGATGCAGACTGTAGCCAGGAAATCAGAAGACGCTTACTTCTTGGGAGGAGAGCAATGTCCAATCTCGATAAAATAGTAAAGAGAAGAGACATCAGACTGGCAACAAAGATCCGCCTAGTCAAAGCCATGGTATTCCCTGTAGTAACCTACGGATGTGAGAGCTGGACCTTAGGGAAGGCTGAGCGAAGGAAGATCGATGCTTTTGAGCTGTGGTGTTGGAGGAAAGTGCTGAGAGTGCCTTGGACTGCGAGAAGATCCAACCAGTCCATCCTCCAGGAAATAAAGCCCGACTGCTCACTGGAGGGAAAGATACTAGAGACAAAGTTGAAGTATTTTGGTCACATCATGAGGAGACAGGAAAGCCTAGAGAAGACAATTATGCTGGGGAAAGGGGAAGGAAAAAGGAAGAGGGGCCGACCAAGGGCAAGATGGATGGATGGCCATCCTTGAAGTGACTGGCTTGACCTTGAAAGGAGCTGGGGGTGGTACGGCCGACAGGGAGCTCTGGTGTGGGCTGGTCCATGAGGTCACGAAGAGTCGGAGACGACTGAACGAATGAACAACAACATTCTATGGAATGGACCCATCACAGTCACAGTGGTGTCAAGCTGATTTAATTCTGTAGTGTGTTGTGTCTATAGAGACACATCTATACTGCCATGGCTCAATGCTATGAAAACCTGGGAGCTGTGGTTTCACAAGTTCTTTAGCCTTCTTTGTTAAATAGTGCTGGTGCATCACCAAGCTACAAATCACAGGATTCCACAGAATCCATAGGATGGAGCCATGTCAGTTAATGTGGTTTTGAACTGCTATAATTCTGCAGTGTGGCCCAGCAACATCTGGAGAACCATATTTTTGCTAGAATGAATTATACAGTGGAGAAATTTTATTTTCTTCTTTTATTTCCAACAGCCGTCTGTCAGTCTTCACACTGGCAATAGAGAAACACAAGGTTGTCATTCCTGGATGATTGAGAAGAATATTTTCCACAATTCCCTTAAATCTTGGAAACTATAAAGGCCAGAAATAGCTTTTAAGTAAATTATTAAGTAAATGCTTCTAAGAATCTGGGACAGGCAGTGAATGCCCCAAACAGGCACAAGGTGGCAGGCCTGGAATCCCAAAAGAAACCTGGCTACCCAAGTCAGTATGGCAACTCAACACTATATATATATAATCCCTGTGTCCACAAGTATTGTTATGTTAAACTGAGAAAATGAAAGAAGGCAATCACTTCTTAGCCACACTAATCCTTTTCATTTCCACATTAACTTGTCCTTCAGAATAGAAGGCATTTTGCACTATTAAATGTGGCATGTGACAATGAAAGCAAATCCAGTGGAGTTTCAGGAAAGTTTGAGTATGTGTGGGGAGAGAGAACAGTTTCTACAGTGACTCCGAGTCGCCTTGATGAAGCCAAATACGATAACTAGGAAGTTAATTATTTCATAGGCCTTCATGGAGATTATCAAATGTTAACCATTATAGCCTTGGGCAGTTACATGTGTTATAGGCTGAAAATGAATGTTTGTTTGTAATTGGCCTGGATCCAAATGGTGTTCCCATCATTTGCATCTCTCCTTTGCCATGCATGAAATTTTACAGGAACCCCGAATGTGTCAACAGAATCACCTTTACTTCCTCTGACTGCATTTTATAGTATGGTCAGTTCTCCACATTTGCTGGGCTTAGGGACATGGAACTCCTGTGAAAGTGAAAACCCACAAATAAATAAATTGCTATTTTTTTGCCTAAGAGAACACTTCTCTAAGGGCCCTTCAATGCTGCCCCAAAACCCAGGTGGAAGCAGATTAAAATAACCTGCTTCCTCCTGGGTTTCAGTCCCCAGTCTCCCTCCCACAAACCCAGGCTTTCTCTAGGGAGAGGTGCGGGTTAGTAAAGGTAGGTAAAGGTTGTCCCCTGACATTATGTCCAGTTGTATCCAACTCTGGGGGTTGGTGCTCA